CCTCTGTTTCAAGAAGACATTTATGTTGAGTGCATACACAAAGGGTAGATGAAGAAATGCCTAATAGCTTTCACCGGGTCCACTAAGCATCTGCCTTACTCCAGTATCACAGGAAGCCAGTGACTCCGAGGGAGCCCCGGGCACTCCTCCATACATCTGTGGCTTGAGCACTTCCTCCTCTTACCTTCCTCCCCATCTGTCTGGGCAAGGCAGTGTGGTCCCTCTAACACTGAACAAAGTCTGAGTGTAGTCATTTCAGTCTTGTTCCTTTTTATTTACTTATTTATTTAGACCCAGTCCTGGGGCTTGAACTCAGGGTTTGGATGCTATTCCTGAGCTTTTCATTCAAGGTTGGTACTCTACCATTTGAGCCACAGCTCCACTTCTGGCTTTATTTATTTATTTTTGGAGTGGTTCATTGGAGATAGAGAGTCTCATGGACTCTCCTGCCTGGGTTCTCTCCAAACCACAAGATCTCAGTATCCTGAGTAGCTCAGATGATATTCAAGAGCCACCAGGGCTGGGAAGTTTTCCTTTTTTACAAAATCCCTGACTCCATTCTACCAAGTTTTAGTCCTCTAACCCCTCAGACAGCAAATCTACTTAATATTAATCCATTCACCACCCTCATTTCTTAGTCCCATGGAGGAGGGGCCGTTCCTATGGAAAAGATGACCCTTGGCCAAATACAAACACAGGCAAGCTTGATGTGCCAACCACCCTGACCCGACCCTCTCCGGACCAGCTAGGACACTGTGGTGAGGACCCGCAGAGCCAGCAGGCATTCTAGGTAACTGAATACGAAGTGATGCAGCCCCTCTCTGGTCTTCCCGGGGCTCCGGATTTTTGGCTTCGTGACAGCCAAGCAAGCAGTTTTGGAGTTGGGTGGGAGAGGGGGCCCAAGGGGAAGAGAGCAGAGAGAAAGGGTGGAGGCTTCCTCTAGGCCAACGACAACTGACTCTTTTGCTCTGTCCAGCAAAACCCAGACAGTGCAATTATCTAGTTAATTTGGCCCTTAGATGAGAGGCGGGCTCTCAAAATCTGAGGTCAGTTCAGACTAAACAGTGGCTTCAGTCCTAAGCCTTTCTCTAAGTGCTGAAGGATACCTGTGAGGTTCCTGGTGGGGAGGGGATACTGCTTCTGTGACCCACCCCATGGATGCACATCAGCAAACAGATTCTACTCAGATTCCCAGATGGCTCTGAGGAGGTAGGCCTCCCAGGGAGACATGGCCAAACGACCTACTGATTGGTTTCCAGGTTAATTTACCTTTTGTCTGCTGTGGCAAGGCATGGCCAGATATCAGAATAAATAAATTAGCCAGTGTTTTCTAGAATGATTGTAGCCTTTTTAGGCTGGCTCGGTGTCCCCGAGGGCCCCTGCCTCCAACGGATTTGCATCCTGTGGTCATTCCCTTGTGTGTTCTGGCTCAAATGTTTTGCTTCTACAAGTTGAATCCAAGGCAGCACTAAGATAAAAAAGAGGAAATGGAAGCATGTGTGTGAGTTGGTTCACCATCAAGGGAATGAGGCTGGGCAGCCAGGTTGGCAACTGAGCATTCACCACATAGTTTATGAAAAACACAGGTCCTGGAGCCATGATTTATCACCCTTGGAAACTGACAAAGCAGCCCAAAATCTGTGGAATCAATCGGTTATTCACTCTGCAACTATTTCCTCCACTTCCACTTACTGAATGCCAGGCTCCATGCTACTTCACAGAGTACGATCTAAACAGCCACGGCCCTTCCCCTTACAAAAACAATCCTGCCCCACGTATATAGGTAAAAATCTCAGAGAAGGGCTAGGGAAGGAAAAGTTGGGGTGCTATGAATAAGTGCAACCCAGTTATCTGATTTTTTAAATAAACCTAGGAGAAAGTGTCTTTGAAAAGGGGACTCCAAAACTAACACTGTCAAGGCTCTCCTTTGCATTTTTTAAAAGAAAGATCACTTTAGCTTTGATTTGAAGAATAAGATGGAGATGGGGGAAGACTGGAATCCTGAGGCTATTGATTCAGTAGTGGCCCACAGCCATGGCTGACCTTTGGTAATGGAATGGAAAGAAGTGGACAGACTGGGACATTATGGGATGTGGAGTCAGCAGGACCTAGCACGTGGTGGATGGAGAGAAAGGCATCTGGGAGTCTGATCAGGTGGAAAGTACATGGTAGTGCTCTTTACTGAAAGAGGGAATGGGGAGGAGGAACAGGTCAGATGCAGAAGGAGGATGAGGTGAACTGTTTGGGGGCCCAGTAACCAGACTCCCTGCCCTTCACACTGTATCTATGGTCTCCTTCCTTGGTTCACCTGGTGTCCATTCAGGAACTCTTGAGCACCATCTGTATGTATTGAAATCCCATCCATCCTCCAAACCATCAGAGAGGTCCCTTTGCTGCTATCTTTTGTTGTCTTTCCTTTTTGTTTTGTTCCTTTATATGTCTTTCGGAGGGTAAGGGGGACACAAAAATGGAGGGGCAAAGGGAAAAATGGAGGGGCCAAGGGCAGACAAATGCAGTATCATGGAATACTATGTTGAAAATGAACGATACAACACGTGGGAGGGAGGAGTGGGAGGAAAAAAACTGGGAGAGAGTGAGGGAAAGGGTGACATTGTCCAAAAAGAAATGGACTTATGCTGGGTGTCTGTGGCTTACACCTGTAATCCTAGCTACTCAGGAAGCTGAGATCTGAGGATCGTGGTTCAAAGCCAGCCCAGGCAGAAAAGTCCCCATGAGACTCTTATCTCCAATTAATCACAGAAAAAAACCAGAAGTGCAGTTGTGGCTCAAAGTGGTACAGTACTAGCCTTGAGCAAAAAGAGCTCAGGGACAATGTCCAGGCCCTGAGTTCAAGCCTCATGGCCGACCAAAAGAAAAAAAGAAAGAAAGAAATGAACTCATGACCTGACATGTAACTGAAATCCCTCCGTACATCACCTTTATAATAACAATGAAAAAATGTTTTAATTCTCCTCAAAGCTACTTCAGACTCCCTCAGCTTGTCCTGGGCTCTGCTGTCCGTAACACGTTTCGTTTCTGACCTTCATGATCGGCTAAGACTTATTTAGCTCACTTCCCTTCCTAGACCACAAGCTGTTCGGGAACTAGGCTCCCGACTCCCCATCCTCAGCTCCTACATGAGCTAGCTAGCATAGTAGACACTTGACAAATATTTATAAAATGAACAAAAATAACCTGGCTTTTTATTTTGGCCATGGAAGGAAAACCAGTAGACACTGGATTAACTTGAAAGCCACAGGATCAGATTGAAATTCCAACTGGAGGTGTTTTCATATGAAGCCAATGCAATCAATGTGATGCTCAGAAGTCCTGTGTTCCTCTGACACACAGACTTCAAAGAGCAGAGTGCCTCCACCTTCTGTTTGTTTTCATTGCGTGTCTCCCAATTAATTTTACAGTAGGGATCTTGTCTACCTTAATTACTGTTTGCCTCTGAAGAAGACGAGGGTGACAATGGAAAAGAACAATGACAAGCAGAAGGTGGAAAGGAAGGAGAAAGAGGAGGAGGAAGAGAGCAAGAAGGAGAAAAAGAAGAAAAAAGAACAGGAAATATATATTGAGTAAATGGTATTTGTCAGGCACTTTTCTAGACTCGTGTGTGTGTGTGTGTGTGTGTGTGTGTGTGTGTGTACATGTGTGCACACACACATGCTACTTCTGGGATTTGAACTCAGGGTATGTGTACTGTCCTTTAGCTTTTTTTTTTTTTTGCTCAAGGCTGGAACTCTATCACCTAAGCCACAGTTCTACTTCCAGCTTTTTGGTGATTAATTGGAGTTAAAAGTTTCCCAGACTTTTCTTGCCCAGTTTGGCTTCAAACTGCAATCCTCAGATCTCAGCCTCCTGAGTAGCTAGGATTACAGGAGTGAGCCACTGGCACCCTACCTTTTCTAGACATTTTCATGTACTAACTCATATAACTCAATAACCTTAAGGATGCACTTTGATGCGATTATATCTCCAAGCACACAGAGAAACTGCTGGAGGGGACTTGAGCATTGTTCAGCAGTGGCATTGGGATTCCAATTTGAAGTCTGGATCCAGAGCTCCAGCTATTATGTGCTCTTTAAGGCCCAGCATAGTGCTTCTAGAAGGAACTCTCATTGAGATCAGAGACTACATCCCATGGTCCTGATTCTGCTGCTAACTTCCTATGGAGCCTTACAGCATGTATGTGTTTCTTTTCACATAAGAGGAGGGATCTGAAGCCAGGAATTGGTAGCTCATGTCTGTAATCCTAACTACTCAGAAGGCTGAGATCTGAGGATTGTGGTTCAAAGCCAGCCCAGGTAAGACTCTTATCTCCAATTAACCACCAGAAAACCAGAAGAGGAGCTATGGCTCAAAGTGGTAGAGTGCTAGCCCTGAGCAGAAAAGCTCAGAGACAGCACTCTGGCTCTGCCTTCAAGCTCCATGACCAACACAAAAAAATGAGGGATCTGGGCATTGAAAATAGTGCTAATCATGCCAGCTAATGTTCTTAATTTTGATCTCTTTTGAGGTTCTAAATAATTTAATCCCAGTGACACTGTCGCAAGAATACTGGGTCACAAAGAGACAAAGCCAACCATTTAATGACTAAAAAACAAGAAAGCTAGGATTCCAAAACAACCTTCTGGCCAAAGTGTCCCAAGGAGAGGCCTTGGGGACAATGAGGAACAGGATGAAGCAAACTGTTGGGACTTTTGGGGTCCCCACACCCATTTCCATGGGAGCCCTTCACATCTACATGCCTCTGTTTCATAGAATGAGCTCCTTTTTTGCTGACGGGGAGGAAGGAGAAAAGATCACCGCTAGCACAAAAGTTTGAAAGGCACTGGACCAACTAATCCTAGACCTCTCAGGTATAAGCCGGGATTTTCCCAGGGAATTAGCTCATGAGGGCCACAAAGAATAAGGACTACGTTCGGTCTTGGGAACAGACCCAGCTTAGCACACGGCAGGGTGGTTGTGCCCAGGGCATGGCTCCACACACCTACCTGTTCCACTCGAATCTCGATCTCTCCATTCACCTTCTTCCCGTGGAAATATTTCGACCTGCAAGGAAAGGAAAATCTACTGAGGAAGGTTGCAGACAGTTCTACTCTCTGCCCCTTTCTACCAAAGGCCTCAGCCCAAGAGGACATGGCACCTGTGCCGTCTCTTAGAGACATCATGTGGTGGAAGGACGAGGGGGTAAGGGGCACATCGGGGACACGAGTTCTATTCTCTCAAGCCATTGACGTTCCCATGCCTCAGTTGTATACGCAGTGAAAGAAAGCTATGCCCAAGTGTGCTCCACATAAGAAGGGCTATTTCAAAGATTAAATGAGACCATGAATAAGTAACAACACACTATTATTTCATTGCATTGTGTAATACATCAAGGAATTATTATTGATCTATCAATATTTGTCCAATGAAGCAGCTGTCAACTGTCAACATTTCTTAGGTGAGATCTCCCCCGGGCTCCCCACCATCCATCCATGCAACCATCTATCCATTCACCCTTCCACCCACCCTTCCATCCCTTTCTTCCATATCCCTGCCTCAATCTGCCCTTTTACCAACCAGTGGCATCCTCATGATCCATGACTCTAGGCAGAAACACAGCCAGTATTCTTGAGGCAGACTGTTCATTTTCCTTATGAGCACCACAGCCCTGACCCACAGTTTCTCCCTTGATGTGGCTTATCTTTCATATACTTTCTTCCACACAATCTATCACAATTATAGTGAACAATTATTCTTAGTAATTGCGTTTAAGCCTGTGTCTCACTAAACGATCAGAACAGCCTTGTCTCATCGTCATTCTATTCTCAACACCCATCAGAGTGCTCAACACCTAGTAGGAGGCCAATATTTGTGGAATGAATAAGTGGTATGATAGGTGAAGCCCAGAGTTTAACCTTCAGCCCTTTTTATCTGGAAGCAGGTGTTTTTATTTCCACCTGAGGAACATACATGAGGAATCTCCTAAACTCAGGAACACTAAGTACTTTGCTTCAGATCTGATTCCAGGCTTGTTAGTTCTGAGTCTGTGGATGTTTCCCCCAGTCCTAAAAACACACACACACAGCAGTGAAAGAGTGCTTATGGATTTAGATATCCTTCCAAAATCAAAAGTAACAGAAATTGGGGCTGGGAAGGTGGCTCAGTGGTAGAGTGCTTGCCTTGCATGCATGAGGCTCTGGGTTCTATTCCTCAGCAGCACATAAGCCGGAAGTGGCGCTGTGGCTCAAATGGTAGAGCGCTCGCCTTGAGAGCTGAGGGACAGCACCCAGGCCCAGAGTTCAGGCCCCATGACCAGCAAAAAAAAAAAAAAAGTAACAGAAATTTCTATTTGGTCTTTTTTGATCAATGGCATAATGAAGTCAATAGTTTTGGGGTACTTGTTTAAACCAGGTACTATGCTAAGTGTTTCCCTGAGCCTTCTTGAGGGAAGAGATGGCTCTTTTCTCTCCAGGCTCATTCTCCCTATTTTCCACATTTGGCACATGAAAATGAATGTACACCTGACTTTCCCATCAGTTTGGTGTGAGTCCTAGTGAACCATTTGGAAGCGTTCCCTTCAGAACCTTCTTCATCATGGAGAGCAAAGGAAGGAGTGACATTGTCCAAACAGAATTGTACTCATTACCTGACTTATGAAATGGTAACCCCTCTATACTATATCTTAATAATATTTATATACCCATATATATATATGTATGTGTATATATATGTGTATATATATACGTGTGTATATATATGTGTACACACACACACACACAGACACACACATCTCCCTTTTTAAAAGAACCTTCTGGGCTTCTTTGATTCTTTCCTTTGGAACATGGGTGTGGACAGCTCTTTTCCCAGCCTCCATTTGTGAAAGATTCCTCTCTACAAACCCTCTCAGTCTGTTTCCGGAGGCCTCGTCGATTCTCAGCCAATGCAGTGCACCTCTCCTCTTCCCAAGCTTGTCGGGACCCCTGACTGGCATCTCCAGTAGTAATGCCACTTTTTTCTCACAGTACTAACTGGCCAAGATGTCAATGAGGCGGGGCTCTCATTGGGCAGAAACTGTTGATGTGACTAGAAAGCAAGATTTTGGTTGCAAAGTTCTTCAAGAAAATATGTGCACACATATTCACACATACACACATATGCACACAGAGGGAAATAATTCACACATGTTGTGAATTTGATCACAAGCTCTCAATAATAGTGTTGGCAAATTCTAGATTTCGGGGGCCTTGTGGAGGGGGGAGACAGGTTTGTCTTCCTCTCTTGATGAAAACAACTTCATAAAAACTCAGAATTTAGACATTCTTTTTTGGGGGTGTTTGAACACAGCGCCGTGCTTGCTAGACAAGAACTCTACCACTCAAGCTATGCCCCAGATCTTTTTCCTTTAGTTTACTTTTCGGATTGGGCCTCATGCTGCTACCTGAGGCCACCCTCACATTGTAATCCTCCTCTTTCTCCCGTAGAGCCAAGATTACAGGCACCCACCACGACACCCATCTAAGCATAGAATTCTTAGAGTTCCATGAGAATATGGAAGCATGGGGTCCTCTCTCCAGTCCATGGTCCTCACTAATTTTCCATCTACCTTCCTCTCTGTTTGGTACCACTGCAGATTCTTGTGCAGGTCTGTGGACAAACCAGCTTCGTGTATTCCTCCCACCCACAGACATCTCTTAGGAGGATAGACCAACAAGCTGGCCTACAGAGACTCTGGAATTGGATCAAGGTCCTTTGGGGCAGGGACCTGAATCATAGTCTAGAGTATGATTTGAAGAGTCCTAGGAGATGCATCCCTTGGCCCTAACTGCTCTGCCTGTGGTGAGAGGATAGTTAGCAAGAGCTAGAGCGAGCTGCAGAGCAGGCATTCCGGGTGCTAGCTTGGGCCTGTAGCCTGCGAATGGCAACTCCACAATAACCACAGGCATGCCAGAAAACAAACAAACAAACAAACATGGCTGGGGGGCGGGGAAATCTTAGTTCTACCACTCACTTACCTACTGTGTTCTAAGACAAGGCACTCAGCTTCCACCCCCACCCCAGGTCTCAGTTTCCCCCTTTGTCCAGGGGTGATACAGCATAGCCAGGGGAAGGCTCTGGTGAGAAATTCACTTGGCTCTCTCTTCTGCAAGGCAGCAGAGTGGCTGGCACCATCCCAGCTCTTCTGCTCGCTTGCGGTGTGACCTCCCGTAAGTCTCTTACCCTCCGCCTGCCTCTGTTTCCACACCTGGAAAATGGGGGTGACAGTGGGCGCCACCACATGGGGTTGCTGTGGAGACTGCAGCAGGTGACACACAGCTCTTAGAACAGCTCTTAGCACACAATACACTCCAGTGTCTGCAGCCGAGGTCCTGAAACCGGATCCACGGGTGAGAGATGAGCTCACTATTGAGGGTGTGCCGACTGAAACCTCCTCTTCTTGGATGTTCACCAGCAGAATTATGGGATCCCTGGCTTCTGATGTGCCCACAGGTGTGATGATGCATGTTTATCACATGGTAAACATGTCATACTGCACAGAAGGACTGCCAGCCTCTCCACGTTGCTCCTCGACCTTCACATGACCTCTAAGGGACAATGGGGTAAGGATTCCACCCGACATTCTACACGAGAAGTTCCCACACAAAGCCTCACAACCTGTAGTGGTCTCCTCCTCCCTTCAGATGTTCCTGACAGTCCACACTGGCCCTCCCCACCCGGGTCATCTGCCCACAGATGACCCCCCCCCACACACACACACCATCCATCACTGGCTTTCTTCCATTTCATGGACCTACCCAACCTCCTGTGATCCCTTTGAGGTTATACGGCCAAGCCTTTGCACGCGCCATCCTCTCCGCATAGGATGTTTACATCTCTTCTTTATCCAATCCTCTTTCCAATGTTCCAACAAACTCATGGGTGGCACCCGCTTTGTCTGCCTGGGCAGTGTGGTGTGGCTGGCTGGGTACAGTGTCCTTGCGCAGTTTCCAGCACATTACACTTACAGCCATTATAACCCCGCTCTACCGCGTGATTACATAGTCATCCTCTGTCCCCTTGCCCACAAACATCGAACCTGTGAACTCTTGGAAACTAGAAGCAGTGTTATAATGCTCACTTCATGCCCAGTACCCAGTCAGGGCACACTGACCATGCTTGATGAGTCTGTCCATTGACTGGCTCCATTGACATTCATAAGGATGTCTGTCTTCTGCAGCCATAGGACTCCCTGTACTGCCATCTACTGGTAGACTGTTGTAATACGCTTACAAATTGACACCTATTACAGTACGGGGCTGGGGGGAAATCATTGCTTGGTGTCCGGCCTGCACAATGACCAGCAATCTTGAACTTGAACCTAATCTGTAGCCCAGGGTGCCCTGCATTACACTAATACCGCTCAAGCACTGCTGGTCTTGATGAGGCCTCACCTTCCAGCAGAAACGCGGGTTTTTGCCCATCTCTGGAATGTTTGCTGCAAGGCCTGGCAGGCTGAGGTGAGGGTCAGGCGGTCTGCATCCCCCCTGCCTGGCTGTGAGTCAGAAGTCTGTCTCCTGATGGGCCACACAGACTGCTGCCTCCTCGCCTGGTGTGGTGGGAGTGGGAGGGAGGGGGTTCATTCAGGCTGGAGCTGGAGCTGCCTCTGAACAGCTCGGTCTGGCAGAGCGTAAGGGAAGGGTGGTGTGGAATTCTAGATGCCTTGGGGGCTGGGGTTGCCGCCTCAGTAATTGACTGGCTGTTTGACCTCAGGCAAAACAGATGGTCTCTGCTGTGCCCACAGGCTTGGTCTTACATCAGCTGCCTCCTCTTTGTGCCCTAATATGTCCGTTCTCTTAAGGAGACCCCCCTCCCCTGGGCCCCCAACCTCCTGAACACCTTGGCCAGTCTGTCAACTCTGTAGTCTTGCAAAGGGGGTGGGGAGCTGTGGATCCTTCCAGGCTTCTATCTCTGTGGGTGGCCTCATATTTTACTGCCACATCAGAGAGGCACCAGGAAGGAGAATATTATAAACTGGGACGGTCTGGGGTGGGAAATCCCTAGGTTTGGGGTGGTGGGATGTGATGTGT